TAGCATCGACGCTGTAGATACGGACTGCATCGGCCGCCACGTCGGCGCCGTAGCGACCATACCGGACTCATGTTTGGAAGCAGCACAAGTTGACGTTGCGTCGTGTTTCCACTCGCCCAAGAGACTCATGGATGAGCCCGACTTCTGCACTTTCCATATCTTGACCGTTTTGTCAAATGAGCAGGTAAACGCCCTGTCGTGAACCGCGTCGTAGTCGGAGGACACCACAGAAGAATAGAGCCACGGATCTTGACTCTGTCGCATAGCCTCAGTGGAGTTTTCCCCTTTCTCGACAACCGGTCGGACGATCCGATGCTCTGGGTAGGCACGGAGCGTAATATCGAGACAAGACCCGAGAACCAGGTTACCGGGCTTGTTGTATTGTTGATTATGCGCGTCCGAGTGTTCGGTGGTCCCACACAAAAACCCGGCATTCGAAACCCATACTATAGTGAAGATATCACCGGCACATCCCGTCCACTCCGCCTTCTTTTCCAGCGCATCCTCACGGTACGTACGGAACTCGTTGAAGAAGTTCCGCTGCGACCTTGTTGCGCCTAGTCGCTGGCCCGACACTTCCCTTGCGAAGAGGAGGGAATGAACTCGGCTTGCGCGGATGAGCTCGCCTCGTTGGTCGCCATCATCTCTCCTGATGGCGAGCATAGCCGGTTTAGAGCTTGTCTTCTGATGGATCAAATCCTGGAAAAAGTTGCCGACATCCTCGCTCGTCCGCCCAACCAGCTGGCCCTCCCGCTCGAATACATCTAGGATCGATGGAACGAACCGAGAGTTATTCCTAAGAACTTTGCAGAGGTCTCGTTTCGGGTCCTTGTTTCCCTTCGTTCGGGATAGCTTGAGACTACGCCGAGTAAAGGGTTCGGAGGTGCCTAATTCCTCTATTATGTAAAGTCGACGTGATACGTAACGGGGTCGACAAGACTAGTCGGCTCTAGATCGATAGAACCTTGAGCCCCTTCGACCCATTGAAGTTCTCCGTGATGAGGCAAGATACGGCCCGTCGCTGCTCGGAGGGCCATCTTGCTGCCGGGCTGAATTCGCCTTGGGTCGAAAGCAACATCCTTACCCTCGCCAAACTAATAGCATGGGCTTCTCTCCTCCAATTTTGCGGGGCACCTCGGTGTATCCGTTGAACGAGCTGCTTTGGACTGGCAAGCGGGGGAGGAGCAGGGGAGGGGGGCGTCGAGGGTATTGGGGGCCCCAACGCAGGAAGGGGCGGCACTCGAGTTGCAACCGGAGACGATCGAATAGCAAGTAACGGGGGCGATACAACCTTGGGCGAGGTGTATGGAGCTTCTCCAGCTGGAAGGCGCATACGGGGTTCGAAAGGCCGGGTGGTAAGCGTCCCGACAGGTGCTAGCTCTTTTGGAAGAATCTCAGTGGCATCGTCATCTACGACAATCAACGTAGGTGTGGTTCTCGAGGCGGCAGATGGCGGAGCTGTATTGGCCGGTAGCGAGACCGCAGCAGTTTCGTTTGGCCTGGCATGCCCGTTCCTACCGGGTGTCGGGATGGTAGGAATAGGAATCGGCGACGTTGAGAATCTTGGTACCGGCGAGGGAGCGGCTGGTGGTCGGTAAAACTCGAATTGTAAACCTGGCGTGGACTCTGGGAAGGATTGGTGAGATTCAACTTGGGGTTGGGGGCGGGGGTCGCTGGCCATGGCGACGGCGATGGCGTGGGTGTCGGATTTGGATTGTGGGAAGGAACGAGCTGGTGACCCTAAGCAAGCAGTGTGCGAATTAGCTTCCACGTTATTCGTTCGATTCGTTCGATTCGAGGGGTTGTGTTTACAAGGCGACGGGCAAGTAACTGCACATGCGAGGCGGCAAGAGCCGCTATCCTCGCTTCAAACTCCAAGCTGATGGTCCCGTCACCACGCGTATTATACTCCCGGGAAAACTCTTGTCCTGTCAAGAGGGCAACAACCTAAATATATGATACGTGTCAGGGTTTGAAAGGCGGGAGGGCATAGTATAGTGGTGGGGTGGGCGAAGATACGTACTTGCTTTCCGATTGCCTGAGTATTCACCCGATCTTTCGGGAGGGTCGCGATCTGGCTATCAACATGGGGAAAAACCTGCCTTTGGAGGCAGGCTACCAATCGTTGTTGGGAATCCAGCGGATTCAGTTTCGCCCTTTTGGATGGCGGGAGGTCGGCATCGGCCTCTGCCCTTGGCAGGGCCCCTGAGATATCAGACGTGATACCTGGGCTGGAGAGACTGGTTAACAAAGGCGGTTCGGTCACCAGCGATACAGTGGCAATCTGTGGAATTTGGAGGTGGGTAGGTGGAAATGTGGTCGTGGTAGTTGTGGTGGTCGTTGTGGTTGCCGGGCTCATCTCAAAGGATGCTGGAACATCATGCATCTCGGATATCGAGAGATAATAATCCTCATAAATTGGAAGAGACGCGTTATACATTGATTCACGCGTTAGGTTATTCCATTAGTGTGACGGCAGCTGCCGTCACACCTTCCATCTTCTTCTTTCGACCACCGTTCCATCAATTCAATCCACAGGTGCTTTACAATAAAGCCTGGCAAGCATATGCGCTCTTTCCTTTGCCCATCCTTCCCAGTTTGAGATGGATCGCATCACATGCAAGTACAGACCGGTTGGGTGGTACCTGAGCCTCAGGCTTTGATGCCCCACCCCCTCAGGTCCACACCCCGGGATCCTGCATGCCGTGTTTTGGACGACGTTTTGCACATGTCTGCTTGAGATTACGGAGATCAGCTGGATGAGAGTATATGACTTGCGCAGATGCTTGCAGCACCGTATAACTAATTTTCAGAGCAGTGGATTGGCAGCAGAACGCCAATCTAGTACACAGACTCCAATACCCGCACAGTATATTACAACTTCCATTCCAATCACCCAGGTTGGTATTTGAGCAGTAGTTTCGCTTTACAAACACTATCCACCAATATATAATCGCTTGTATAAACACCCCCCTCTACACCATTGTATACAAAACCGCAAAGTGCAGAATCCAGTGCGACCTACTATATCACACAAAAGCCAAAACCCCTCCCGCTCCGAATACGTAAACCAGCCCGACGAGCTACGCCGCCCATTTATCCATTCCTTACTTACAGGCAGGCACTCAGTAGATAGGCATCAAACAACAATGGATTAGAGCTTGGGCTTCTCGACCGCGTTGACGGCAATCTCCTCGTACATGCGGTCGATCTCGCTCCGGAAGGCACGGGCGGTCTGGGGCCGCTTGAGCTTGAGTCTGTTTCATCTCATGTTAGCATCATGGTCTTACTGATCTCAACTACACTTTCTCCGCCCCTCTCTCCCTTTTTTTAAGCGAAGAAAAGAGGAGCGGAGTAAGCAAGAGTAAGAAGGGACGAAAAACATACGTAGGCGTCAGCAGCTCATTCTCGATCGTGAACGGCTCAATCTCAAAGACGCAGTTCTTAACCTTCTCGAAGCTGTTGAACTTGTGGCGCTTGCCGATCTGCTCTAGCAACTTGAGGAAGGCCGTCTTGACGCGCGGGTCGTTGGCGGCCTGGCGGAGCGCGTCCTTGTCATCGGCGGGGACGGGCTTCTTGAGAATCTTGCCGGCGTAGGGGGCGAAGGTAACCGGATCAATGCCAAAGACAGCGACGAGGCACGACTCCTTGGGGTCGCCGTGGACGAAGGCCATAGCAATCAGGTTGGTGGCGCCCATGTAGACGTTCTCGATGCGTTCGGGCGAGATGTACTCGCCCTGGGAGAGCTTGAGCACGTTCTTCTTGCGGTCGATGATCTTGAAGCGGCCCATGCTGTCGACCTCGACGATGTCACCCGTGTGGAACCATCCGTCGGATTCGATGGCTTTGGCCGTCTCCTCTGGGTTCCGGAAGTACTCCTGGAAGATGATGGGTCCGCGCATCAGCAGCTCACCACGCGGGTTCGGCTTGTCTTCCACCGTGTACTCGTATTCGGGCACGGATTCGATGCACAGCTCGACCGACGGGCACGGGGGCCCGATGTTGCCCGTGGTGAAGTCGCCGGGCATCTGGACGGTGCCGACCGCGTACGTCTCGGTCATGCCGAAGCCCTGGACAAAGTTATTGCCAAAGGCGGCGCGGAGGAACTGGTGGACGTCCGGGTCGAGTTGGGCGCTGCCGCTCACCATGGTGCGCGTTCTCTGCAGGCCCACCGCTTTGAGCACCTTGGGGGTCCAGATGCGATCGTACAGGAAGTGCTTGTTAGTGGCCTGGCCATTAGGCAGCTTCATGCTGGCCTTCTTGGTGTCAATAACGCGGCGCGACAATGTCCCCTTAAATCCGTCGGCCTCGACAGTCGCCGCCTGGATCGCCGAGTTGATGCGGTTGAACAGGCGAGGCACCGACATGAAGCCCGACGGCCGCAGGATCTTGATATCCTCGATTAGCGTAGTGATATCGCCATGGAAATACCCAATGCTCGCCCCCTCAGCGAGCGCAGTTTGGTCCGCCATACGGCCATAGATGTGCGCCAAGGGAAGATACGAGATGTGAACGTCGCCGGCAAAGACGGTCTCGTTGGACCTGGCCGCGGTGATGCCTGCCACGCCGTTCTTGTGCGTGATGAGCACGCCCTTCGGGTCGCCCGTAGTGCCCGAAGTGTAGTTGATGGTCAGGATATCGTCGGCCTTGGGAGGGCGCATGGCGCGGCCGGAGCGTGCACCGAGGGCCTCCACCTCGGTAATAGAGACGACTTGAATGCCGGCGGCAGCAGCGGTGGCGTTCAGCAATTCCCGCTTCGAGTGGCCCGGTACCTCGCCGGCGTCGAGGGGGTCGAGCGAGATGATGAGTTTGAGCGAGGGGACGCGCGAGGCCATCTTCAGTAGGGTAGGGATATGCGGCAGCGAGCAGGCGATGGCCGTCAGACCGCTATGGTTGATGATATACTCGCTCGTTTCGGGGCCGAGAGTCTCATACAGAGAGACCGGCCATAGCGACTGCGAGAGTAGCGCCAGCTCGGTCATCTGCCACTCCGGACGGTTCTGCGCCCACAGGCCCACCGGATACTTGTCCTCCTTGATACCAAGCTGGTGGTGCAGCTCGACGATACCGGCGCCGAAGTTCTTTCTCCGCTCGGCAACCTCGGCATACGTCAGCCAGACATACTTGGGCTCAAATGTCTTGGTGGCAGCATTCCAAGGTCTCCATCCCAGGCACCTCGCCTTGGGGTTTTGGGCAACCGCATGCTCGAATAGGTCGTGGACGGTTCTTTGCGCCGGGTCGTACGTCTCTAGCAACGGACCGTTTTGGAAGCGCCAATGGCGGTAGATCGGGGTGCGGTTCGGACGCTCGGTGCCAGGGATAGGCAGGGCATAGGGTTGGCCGGGGGGCGGGGGCGTCGCGAGGGTCCTAATGTAGGCTTTTGTATCTTGTTTGGTGGGAGCCATGGTTGCGGCGTTGGTGGTAGTTTGGGCCGGGTAGTTGAGCCTCGGGATAAGGATCGTATGTGAGGCCCGGACGAGGAGCGCCAAACAAAGCGAGAGAAAGAATTCGGAGCGACCGAGGGGGGGACGGAGACGGGAGTTCTGCGCGCGCGAGTCACGTCACAGATCTCTTGTAGTGAATACTGAGGGGAGGAGCTGATGAATAAAGATGAAAGATGAAAAACCAAAAGTTTGGAAGATCGTCCCCTTTTCGAACGGAGGGTCGGCATTCGGCTGCAGATGTTCTCGCCCTGGAGGGCGTCCTGGGCCGAGTGCGACAGGGATAGGAAGCCAAGCTGGACGCGGTCGATGTTGCCAAATTGGGGTTTCCTGGCAAGAGATACTTGCCTCCCAACGAAGCATCAATGCTCTTCGTAAGGTGACCATCCTCTTTAAAGGAAATTTAGCACTAAAACCTGGGGATTAACATCCCTAGACCCTTTTATTCGAATTAAGCCATTTAATTCCATGCTAGATACGTTTTCAACGAAAATATTGTAGAATGTATCAGTCATTTTGTTATACACGGCGTACCTTGTCGGCCGGTTGCACCGAGGGTCAGCCTCGGCTGGCATGCTTCAGGGGTGGGGTTGGGGCAATGATTGTGGAGGACGCGGGTTTTTCCAATCGTCAGCGGGTCACTGGAGGAAGGGTGGATCGCTCACGAGCCTCTCAAGGACACCCTTTTCGCGGCGCGACTTCCGTTACTGGCGGCACGACCTGCATGACATGCGGCGACAGCCAGAAGAGGCATCCCATTTCCTGGGGAAAATTGGAGATAAAAGATCTTGTCGAAGAGCGTCGTCAAGGCTCGACATGCGGGGGTTTTCCATGCCGAGCGAGGGGTGCGGAGCAACAGCGAAGGTGAGACAACTGAACAGAAATTACTGGATTAGAGCCAAATGGTTCTTTCAGGTCCCATTCCATGTGAGAACAACCGCCAATTGTCCGCGACTTCCACAAAATGTTTGTCTTGCTTCTTCAACCCCTTACTCGTCGCCAAATGGCGTCTTCTACTGCCGAAGCAAAACAAGGAAGAGGGACATCGGTGTGCTATAAAGTATGTATTTACATGTGCCTTGGGAGATGACGAGACCGCGACGAAGCGCGCTACCTGAAGGGGCCCATGGTTTGGTCGCTGCCTCGGGCAGAGATTGACCTCGGCTAGTCGCCCGCATGCATCTAATTTAAGTGGGGCCGCGACGCCGAGCCTTAACCCCGCGATTCAATTACTGGGCTCGCTGGGGTACTGGCTTGGCATGAGTGCACGGTCCATCTGGTAGTTATCAAGAAGCGCGATTCGAAGATTCCAAAGCCTAGCCCGAAACGCCAAGCAACCTCGCGATGAAAGGCTGCACAGAACAAACACTAATGAGGGGGTGCGATGATGTGATTCAACAGTCAACACCGCTTTTTTACTTACAGGAAATTTTCAGAAACTTGGGGCGAACGTGCTGCCGGAAAGTGTATTAATACTTGGCGGGTTCACTCCTCCAACCTCAACTGACATTCCACGTCCACGCCCGATGGCACCCTGGCATCTAATTTAGGTCCGTGCAGTCCGTTACGGTCGGCTTCGATCTACCATTTTGTCGAGGAGCTGGAGCTGGAGCGGCGTAAGGTAATTGAGAAAGTCGCTGTCGACAAATGTTGCCTCGTCCCCTCCCTGAGGTTTTATATCCCTACCTTTTCTGAAGCAGAGACCGCCAAAGGCGCATCGTCCAAACATCAACTCTAAAACGAGGGGCGCTGCCGTTGTGTACCTGTCACTGGAAGGTTCAAGTGAGCTGGCTTCAGATATACTTAGAAACTACCATCACGACAGTGATCACGCTCACGCCAAGCCGCCGGATTTGCGACTGCCGGCGTCGAAGCCAACCTCACGATGCGCTGTGACCTCAATCTAGTCGTTGCGTCGCCTTCATTGGCCCGGTTGATTCTGCCGACCGTCCACCATATTATGCACAATGTAGTTCCTGAGGATCTTCTGTTTCAGGACGGCTTCATTGGTCACACAGACCAATTAACCAGTATGAAAGACATTCAGGGCTCGCGTCGGCTTGCCGCTTGTTCGACAGGCTCGATCTTCATTTCTGGTGAATGTCTCTCGTTTCGCTCCCACCTCTCGTTCCGCCATCTCTCCGTTTCTTCTTGGCTGGCGATTGCCCTCTTCTAGTTCCCTCACCTTGTTTACTCTGGATTTTTCTGTGCTGTGCATCGTCATCTCTTAGTCCACCATGAAGCTCACAAGCATGTCGTTCCCCCTGATGCCCCTCATCAGGATATCCCAGGGTGTCTTTGCTCTCCTGGTGATAATCCTATCAGGCTTTGGTAAGAACCAACCCCCCAACCGAGCGGCGCGGTGCAGGTAGGATGCAGAAACCAGCTAACACGGCAACCCTTTAACAGTCGCCAACTGGTACACGAGCACGACCCCCTTGCCGTCACCGTCACAAGTCACCTTCCTCCTTTTCAGCGAGGGTCTGGTCCCTCATCTCGAATGGCCCTGACATAGAACTCCCTCCCCACGCTTCCTACCACGCAGTACGGCGCCCGGCCACCACACCCTTTGTTTTCCCTTTCCCCCTCTCAACCACCCCTCTCAACCCCTCTTACTAACCCCCTCCCCCCCCTACCAGTCCCCAAACCCGTACATAACCGCCCCCTTCGACCTCACCAACGCACTCTTCCACCTGGCCGGCTTCTCGGCGCACGCCGCTTTTCTCAACGGCCTGCTCTTCTGCCGCGGAGACGTCTGCCACGCCGCCCAGGCCTCGGTCGCTTTCGCCGCGTTCTCCTTCGCCGTCTGGTCGGCGTCGGCCGCGCTTACCGTTTTGGAGGCGGTGAAGGTTAGGCGTGCTGGTGCTGGTGCTGGTGCTGGTGCTGCTGTTGGGGGTGGTGCTGGGAGGCCCGCTGGTACGGGTGCCATGCCGTGGCCGGGGAAGAAGGAGGCTGTTTGAGGGGAGGGAGGGGGAAGGGGGGAGAAGGGTAGGGACTGGTTGACTGGTGGGTTTGTGGTGATGGACTGGGGTGCGTTTATTAGATGGGGGATGGATGGGGTCACGAATGAGGTCGCCGGGCCGGGCCGCTGCGTCGGTAGTGGAAGGGATCAGTCAGCACCCTATTCGTGCCGCTCGGGTTCGCTCTTAGGCTGTGGTTCTCGGAATTCATGCAGCCGCTGTGCGACAATGCTGGGACGAGGCTATATGGGGTGCCGAGTCTGAAGATCTCAGTCGGCTCAGGGCGTTGTCAGTTAGCATGGCCTTGATGGCTTGCTCTGTCACGGCGAGTTACGAAGGACAGGCGTTTTGGGGTTTGCTGTGTAGAGCGCGCTCGGGAGGTGTTTTGTTTACATAGGTATTAGGGTATATGTACATGATAAATGTCGATTTGCAACTCATACGGAGTGCGAAGGCGGCTGCCAGTGGGTGCCAGCACCAAGAGGTGATAAAAGGACGGGAAACCATCAGCCGGGTTTCGAATGCTGTTTCATTATAAAACTCTTGTCAACTGCCCAACTCTTTTCGCTCTGCCCGTTCTGCTCCACAGGCGAGTGAGTGGGCATCATCAAGACATCTAATAATTCGCAATGCGGATCATTCATGACAGCACACTGCCCAAAAGCACTTCGAGACTCGACCCTTTCGGCTGCCCAACCACACTCGTTCCCAACAGTGCAAATGATCGGCAGATAGGGTTACATGCATCTGCAGACAGAGCACAGAGCACGAGACAGGTTGACAAAGAGTTGACCCCTCGTTGGGGGTGTCCTGGGCTGGCGACAGAAAGCTACCCCGCGCTGCCGCCATCGGATCAGAGCACGAGGATGTGGGATGTTTCTTCATTTATCACCTCATCTCAACGCCAAGCCCGATCTGTCACACATCGTGCCGAAGAGGGGAATGTATAGATCCCGTCTGTATTTAGGCTCCATGACCATAAGGGAGTTCCCGGAACCAGTGTGAATCGAGTTCCGATGGCCGGTCGTGTCATGACTGGACTGAACTTTCAGCCTCAACCCTCTGACAACGATGGGGGAGGCTCGTCTTTAAGCAGCGCGATGGCGAATACCTTCAAAAAGAAGTAGTGTCGTTCAGCGCTCCAGGGCGCTTTTGGTGCTGATTGGGTGGGAATCCGTTCAGCCTGAGGGAGAAGGAGGGACCGTGGGGAACTGCCCCGCGCCATCAACCGATGGCGCAATTGCGTGCTCTAAGAAACCCCCCACTCTCTCCAATTCAACACACGCGACTGGGCAGGAGGCCCCCAGCACGCTGCGTGGTCTGTAACAATTGACAAACCGCGGCATGGTTAAGGTGTTTTTTAACGACAAGCACACAATGACGATCGGCTAGTGAGGTATTTGGAGCCTAGGCGTGGGGAGGAGGAGGGGAGAAATAGAAAAGGGGGAACTTGGTCGCCGATTCTGGGACCTAGTCCCTTGCTTGTTCCGTCCTCGTCACCTTCTCCCACTCCTTCTTTGTTGTCGAGCTCCGAACACCGAATCAACTTTGCTGTTTTCCTGCACTTGCACTTGTGATACCCATTGATACCCCTCGTCGTCGAAAGACAAGTTTGCCGCCATGTCTAACCAGAGATTCGAGACGCTCCAGCTCCATGCGGGGTACGTGTTACTGTTGCTGGCATTCCTTCTATCCGACACCGGATGAAAAGCGAGAGACTGACATTGCGACAAGGCAAGAGCCCGACCCGGCCACCAACTCCCGGGCTGTCCCTATCTACGCCACCACTGTGAGCTGGCTCTGTTTGATGGTTCCCATAGGACAAAAAGCTGACGGGTACAAACAAATAGAGCTACGTCTTCAATGACTCGGCCCATGGTGCCCGCCTCTTCGGGCTCAAGGAGTTCGGCAACATCTACTCCCGGATCATGAAGTGAGTGCGGGTGAAGACCATATGGGAGCCGGAAACGAGCACGGAAACTGACGTCTTCAGCCCGACGGTCGATGTCTTTGAAAAGAGGATTGCTGCTCTCGAGGGTGGTGTCGCTGCGGTGGCTGCCTCCTCCGGCCAGGCCGCGCAGTTCATGGCGATTGCAGCGCTTGCCCACAGCGGTGACAACATTGTCTCGACATCCAACCTCTATGGCGGCACGTACAACCAGTTCAAGGTGCTCTTCTCGCGCTTTGGCATCACGACCAAGTTCGTCAACGGTGACAGCCCCGAAGACATTGCGGCCGCCATCGACGACAAGACCAAGGCTGTCTACATCGAGAGCATCGGTAACCCGCGCTACAACGTGCCCGAGTTCGAGGCCATCGCCAAGGTCGCCCACGACGCCGGCGTCCCGGTTGTGGTGAGTGGCCAGCATCTTTCGCCGGTTAATATCACGGGAACTGACAGATGTCTAGGTTGACAACACCTTCGGTGCCGGTGGCTACTTTGTGCGCCCGATCGACCACGGTGCCGACATTGTGGTGCACTCCGCGACCAAGTGGATTGGCGGGCATGGTACAACCGTCGCGGGTGTTGTGATTGACAGCGGCAAGTTCGACTGGGGCAAGAACGCCAAGCGGTTCCCCCAGATGGTCGAGCCGTCGGAGGGTTACCACGGGCTCAAGTTCTGGGAGACCTTTGGTGCCATCACCTTCGCCATCCGCGTGCGCGTCGAGATCCTGCGCGACCTGGGGCCCTGCCTCAACCCCTTCGGCGCCCAGCAGCTGCTGATCGGCCTCGAGACGCTGTCGCTGCGCGCCGAGCGGCACGCCCAGAACGCGCTGGCTCTGGCGCGCTACCTCGAGAAGAGCGAGTACGTCTCGTGGGTGTCGTACCCCGGCCTCGAGAGCCACCAATCGCACGAGACGGCCAAGAAGTACCTCAAGCGCGGCTTCGGCGGCGTGCTGAGCTTCGGTGTCAAGGGCGGCGGCGCGGCCGGCAGCCAGATTGTCGACGGCTTCAAGCTGGTCTCGAATCTGGCCAACGTCGGCGACTCCAAGACGCTGGCGATCCACCCGTGGACCACCACCCACGAGCAGCTTAGCGACGAGGAGAAGGTCAGCTCGGGTGTGACTGAGGTTAGTAATTTACTATGCCGGGCGGGTTCCCTCCTTAGAATTTGATGCTGACAGAACCCTAGGACCTCATCCGTATCTCGGTCGGCACGGAGCACATCGACGACATCATTGCCGACTTTGACCAGGCGTTCAAGGCGGCTGCGGCCGTGACAACAAAGGATGGCGACAAGCCGCTAGCCGAGAGGAAAGCCGAGGAGGCACCGGTTGTTGTTTAATATGTATCTGATGTAGCGCGATATTTTAATGAATGTTCAAATGATTCCAATCTCTGAAATCTGTGAAGTTGCCGTCACCGACCGATGTTGTCTTTACAAAGAGATTGTGTTCGAATCGCACCGCCAAACAGTTCCTGTGGCCTGCCCTCTCCCGGCACCAATCACACCCCTGTAACAGCACCCCCTGCAACTCGCATTCCGTCACCAAAACCTCCAGCAGCTGCTTTCCAAACTTCCATCAACCATCACCGCCGCCACCACCCCAACCACCAACCCAAACCACCACTTGCGCTTTCAGCGCGCCCAACCCAAACCAACAATGCATCTCAACACCCTCCTCCTCCTCCCCCTCCTCAGCGCCCTCACCCCGCTCACCACCGCCTCCAAACCCACCACCCCCAACCACGACCACGACCTCGAAACAACAACACTCACCCTGCGCATCCCCCCCACAAACCCCTCCCTCCCCAACGCGCACCTCCTCCCGGCCTCGACCCGCGCCACGCTCACCACCCTCGGCCGCGCGCTGTCCGCGCCCCTGTCCGTCGCCAACACCTTTGTGTTTCGCAATGTTAGTGTGGGCTCGTATCTGGCGGATGTGCATTGTGTGAGCCACGCGTTCGCGCCGCTGCGCGTGGATGTGGCCGCGGCCGAGGGTGCAGATGGGGGTGGGGGGAAGAAGGGGTCGGGGTCTGGGTTGGGGGTGCGCGCGTGGGAGACGTTTCGGGGGGGTGATTGGGGGAATACGGGGGAGGGCGCGCCGGTGGGGGAGTATAGCGGGGGTGGGGGGCATGTGGTGGAGGTGAGGGTGCTGGGGGCGAAGGGGTATTTTATGGAGAGGAGTAGCTGTGAGTTTTTATGGGCATTGGCTTGCTTGCTTGCCGGTTTGTGTGGTTTTGGGAGTGGGTTTGCTAACTGCGAGGGAATTAGTCTCGGTGTTGAGCATCTTCAAGAACCCGATGATCTTGCTTGGGCTGGTCAGCATGGCGCTGTTCTTTGGCATGCCGAAGCTGGTGGAGAACAGTAAGTCTCCCTCATCTTGGGCTAACATGGTGCTTGACACTAACGACATCACAGTGGATCCCGAGATGCGCGCCGAGTGGGAGGAGCGGCAAAAGGAGAACCCGATGAACAGCATTATGGGCGCCGCGTCCGGGCAGAACGCGAACCCCATGGGCAACTTCGATATGGCGGCTTTCTTGGCAGGGTCAGGGTCGAGCAAGGCGGAAGAGGGGGGCGCGAAGGGGAAGACCGAGGGCAAGAAGAAGAGATAGTTGTGTTCGATGCTGGAGCTGTAGGAATACGGAGGGGTCAACGGGTATATATATATAGAGAGAGAGGAGTGTCTGTATTGGAGTTATTACACGTTCCGGACGAACAGCTCTGGTGTGTCTGTCACTCCCGCGCACCTGCCGGGAACAGGGTGATTCGAGACCAACATCGCCATCCATTCCCCTCATACCTAACGCCGGCAAAATTCTCCATATCTACGAGATAATTCTGGTCAACACACCGCAGCAAGTGAGCAATATTATCGTGATGTATTAATCATGTACGTGCGTTGCCATCGTCAGGATCCCCGGGCGTCAACAAGCGAACAGATGCCCACCGGTCAAAATTGGCCCAAAGTTCATGATACAGATCCAGCAAAGTCAAACAAATTGGCATCTAGGAGAGAGTAAACCCCCAATGCCCACTCGGCCCGTTGGTCTCAGCTCTCAACCCCCGCGACCAGCCTTTAAAAGTCGCCACCACCACCATCATCGAAATCAGCACCATCCTCTGTAACCATGTGTTAGCCATCACCATCACAGTATTTATGCCTCAAGGGGGAATGCACTCACGGAACCCATCCTGGTACGCGTCCTCATTCGAGTCCTGGATCGCATCCGCCACCAACGCACCACCCAATAGACCAGCACCCACACCCAACGCCGCGCCACCAGCCATCATGCCCATGTTGCTGCCGCCGGACTTCTTATATCCGCCATGCTGCCCCCCATAACCATGCTGCTGGGGCGGGTAGTACCCTCCCTGCGGCGGATATCCGTGCTGCTGCGGGGGGTAGTAACCCCCACCATGCGGCTGCCCATATCCCCCAGGAGCGCCATATCCTCCGGGAGCGCCATACCCGCCAGGGGCGCCATAACCCCCCGGCGCACCACCATACGGCTGCTGATACCCGCCGCCACCATGGTGACCACTACCGCCCCCACCCAAAATCCCGCCCAACCCACCCGGCAAACCGTGACCACCACCACCACCACCACCCATCGGTTTCTTCCCCCCGCCAAAGATCTTGCCCAGCAAACCACCGCCCGAACGGGACTTATCATCCGGGCGTGGCGGCAGTTGGCCCGGGAAGGGGCTTTGCTGGCCCTGACCCTGCTGCTGGTAGGAAGGGGAGGCGCGGGCGCGGGCGTCCTCCTCGGCCTGCAGCTGGCGGGCGAGGCGGGCGTCCTCGTCTTCGTTGCCGTGGAAGCTGGAGCCGCCGGGGGTGTTGCTGCTGCTGTTGAGGTAGGATGCAGCGGCGCCTTGGTTGGGGTTGTCGTAGGGGTTGACTTTGGTGTCGGAGGGCGCGGGCGTCGCGCCGGGGGTGTAGCCCGGGGGCGCGCCCAGGTCGTCGTGCGGGGGCTGGGCGGGCTCGGTGGGTTTCTCCCATTGGGACTTTTTGGTGTAGGTGTTTACGTAGAACCTGGGGGGAAAGAGGCGAGGTTAGGATTCGTGGGGTGGGATGCGGTGTGGTGATGGCGGGTGTGCTTACCATTCTTTGTACTGATCGTTCCAGCGGGCTACCCAGCCCTCGGGTACCTTAGGCGGGGGAGGGCCCGGCGGCGCCTCGAAATCGGCCATATTGTATCGGTGATGTTTTGAATTGAAAGGAGAGATGGACTTTTCACGATGATGCGGAAAAGAACGGTGATCGAGGCAAGTGTGAATGAGGTCCGCGCTTTTGAAGTGGGGGAGTTACTCAGTTCGAGCAGTCAGAATGGCGGGGTAGTTGAAGTCGTCGCGGATCGGAAAGTGTTTCCAACACAACAAAGTTACGGAGGCCCTCCCGTTTCAGCTGGGCAGTTGGAGACTAAGGAAATAGTGGTCCCGGGAGGAAAGCGGTCCCGGGAGCAGTAATTCCATTTTATGTACGCATCGCTGGCCAGAGGGACATGTAAGTGAGGGGCAACATCGCGTAACTACGAAGCCAGCCAGCACAGCCACCCGCCTGACTGGAAGGGGCGCGAAGGAGCATGTCCGATGGAAGGTGACAGGGATTCTCCTTCACAGTTTGGAATCGCTCACTCTCGCTTGGCAAGTGTTTACCTGGGAGCCTGGCTCTTGTCGAGTCCTCTGCTTGGAGGGGCTTGCGCCACCCGACCTTACTACGCACTTTGTGGGGTCATATTCAAACCCCTTCGATGCACGTTTCCGCCCCCGTTTGGTGGCACCTGCCTGGAACGCGTGTTGTTCAGGGCTGTGCCGGTTCACAGCATGACTACCATCAAGATACGCACTCACAAACGCAGAGACCCCGCCACCCTCGCCGCCGAGACACGCCGGACGAGGCTGCGGAGCTTGGATGGCCCAAACAGGAAACCGATTCAATGGAGATCATCTGTTAGTTAACATTTTAGCAGCACCCGCCACCCTCCCATATTCAAAAAAAAGTCAGTAAGGAACTAAAACCGCCCGAGACCTTTCTCCAGAGCTTTAGGTATAATTGTTGGTTTAATAACCCTGTTGTGGTTGTTAGAATAGGGGGTGGTGGGGTGGCATGATCTCTTTTCGCGGGTACCCAAATGCCTGGACTAAAGGATTCTCTTTTTAACTTGATT